AATTAGGGTATTTTTATTTTTCAAGTATGAACAGGAAAACATACTGTATTGAGAAGGAAAAGTGGCAGAAAAGGAAAAATGAGTGGAGCACTTCTCCCAACGCAAAAAATGCAAGAAAAGGAAAGAAAAAAGCAGATTCTCTTTGCGGACATGTAGACCGCCAACTGGACATTTACCCTTTTATACTTACATTAATGCAACAATTTTATGGGACTATAGGCTTTATTTTTGATGCTTCTATTGTTTATGTAACGATTAAAAATAAGTGAGAAAGGAGCTTTTTGGGTTCTTTTAAGAAAAATTTTTTCAGATCTTTACATAAAAGTTATGGTTATTTGTTAGGAATATGTTCATTCTTCAATACTTTAATGGACACTACAAATTTCCTTCCAACATTTCTTGTTTTAATTAAAAAACAAATTTCAATGAAAACGTGTTTTTGGTTGCAGGCATATGGCTCTGTACTTGATATTAATGCTCCTTTTTGTTTATTATTTATTAGTCTTGATAGACTTTTGTCTTTTGTTAAACCAACTTTGTAAATTTATTTTTAAAATTTTAAAGTTAAATAAACCACAAAAAACTAATTCTTTGATGGGTTGGGGTTTGATTCTTAGGAGAAATTAAGTGCAACTCTTGGAAAGGGAGGCTCGGTTTTTATCTGTATATATCAGGTGTGTGCCTTTTCGCCTTCCGTCTTTCACCAAAATTCCGCCTTTTTTCGCCTTTCGATTTTTAAAATCTGTTTCGGCACATCCCTGGTATATAATGTATTTAAATTGCCTTTTTTGCCATTTCCTCTCACTTTCAGATTAGGAATACTTTAGAATGGCATTTGTAGTGGAGAACTGAGATTATGATTATAGAGGGGAATAATTATTATTTAGATTTTAACATTCAATCTTTCAAGTTTTTTTCCAAAAAATATTAAAAAAAATTTTTTCATTTAAAGTTATTTAAATGGATTAAATAAAAAAGCTTTAATTTATGTTCTACTAGTAAATTCTTGTTCAATTTTTTATGTTCTCCTTTTAGGCTTTTTTGCTTACAGAGATATTTTACAACAAAATAAGTTAATTAATTTTGATTAAAAAAATAAATTTTCTTTTTTATTATGTATTTTTACTTTTTGTGAACCGGGAGATATTTTTATGGATTCAATGCAAAATGTACTTTCATATTCTTTATTTGTTCCTATTTTTATTTCATTAATTGTTTATTTAATAATTCTGAAATTAATTAAAGGTAAATTTAAAAGGAAATTAAAATAAAAAAATTCTGTAACTCAGGCATTGCCTTTATCAAGGACTTGGGGATTTGACCGGCTACGGACATAAAAATCCGTTAGCTATTATTTTTAGATTTCCTATCCTTTTTATGTCTGGAATACCAAAAGATCTAAAGGACTTCCTCGGGGTTTTAATGGATCTTTGTGTCTATATTATAGATTGGACTGCGACGAGGATCCATATTTAGAAAAATATCAGTTTGTTAACTGGAAGTTTAGACCGATATTGTCTCGTCCGATCTCTAGCCTATGCTAACCCTTTTATTTTTTTAAATATAAATGTCTTAAAGAGATTTTTTTTTTCATTTCATTTTTTTGTTGTTGTCTCACATATTTTCTTTAATTTGTATTTTTATGTTTTTTATGCACCACTTTAATGTATTTTAAAATACCTGTGGTTTGCTGATAAATAAATAAAATAAATAAACTATTAATAAATTTTAAACAATTCTTTAAAGTTCACATTAAAAAACTAAAAATTCATCAAATGACAGAACAAATTAAATTTAATCATCAAATAATTAAATCTCTTCTTTTAATTGTTTCAATTATGATGATTAGTTATATAACATTTAGTATTTCACTTCAAATTGTTCCTCTATTAATTTCGGATTCAGCTAGTCAATATTTTATTATTCATCTTTCTGGCCAAATTTTGGCTATTGCAAGTATTGTTGATGCTCCTGTTTTGTATTTTTGTAGGTAAAAAATATTTTCTCTTTTTTTTTTTTTAAATTTTCTTGGAAAACTTTTCGAGGGAAAAAACAAAAAACTTGAGGGAAGGGAAAGTCATTTTTGTCATCAATCTTTGAATCCATTTAAAACCCCTCTTTGAAAAAAGATTTCATTAATCAAGTCTCTCCCAAATATCCATTCCCAACTTTTAATTTAAACAGAATTTAAAGAATTTTTTAAATAAAAAATCGCCTACCCACCCTACCTTAAAAACTAAAAATCAATTAAAATTGAAATAAATTTTATTAAAAAATTTTTAAATTTATTTTTAGTTCTGAATATCGTAAGGCAATGCAAAAAGATTTACCTTTAGTCAAAAAACTTGCAATTTGGATTTCGAATTTTAAATAAATAGAAAGAAATAATTTTTAGAAATTTCTATTCTTTTAATTTTTATAATTATTTTTTAATGAAATTATTAACAAATAAAATTTGCACTTTTAAAAAATAAAATATTGATAAATAAATGACTAGACTATATTTTAAATTTTATTTAGAAATATGTACTTATTTTGCACTTTTTACATCATTATTATAGCTATTTCTCTCCTTCAGCTAGTGTAAGAGGTTATTCGGCGGCTGGGAGCGAACCAGAATCTTCAGTAGACCGGACTGATCTGTTCTCCATTACACCACGCCGCCTTCTGCATATCCTTCGAATATTCTTTTTGATTTTAGTCAAAAAATTCTTTAAAGAATATTTTTTAATTTAAAAGAAAGAAAAATTAAATTCATAGAGTTTTCTCTTTTTTTAATTAATTTAAAAAATATTAGAACATTTTTGTTAAGATTATTTGAAGAATTAATGAGAAATTGGAAAACAGAAAAAATATTTAATTTAAAAAAATTATTTCCTAATTTATTTAAATTCACGTCAAATTATTCTACGCCCAAACATTTAAATTTCATAAAAGTTTGCACTTTAAGACTTGCCCTTAAATAGTGAGGGCAAAGAATATATTGTTAGACATTTATTTTTAAATAAATTTTTTAAAATAAAAATATGTTAATTAAATTAATTTTTCTAATAATTATTAATCAAAATGTGTTATTATCTATGGATTGGAATAGTGGTGGTGGTAGTGGGAATAATAATTATAATATAGTAAATATTTGATTAATTTAAAGTTAAAAATTTTATTATTAAAAACAAGGACTTGGAAAACGAATCTGGAAAACCTCCCCTCGAAACACATTTTCTATTCATTTTATCCTTAATTTCACCATTTATATATTTATACTAGTGACCGGAACGAAATGAGATCTATAATCGAAAATCTTGATTATCGAGATCTCGATTCTCGTACGACACTCCCAGTCCAGTCTTTAATACAATATTCAATAATGTTTAGAAAATTTGTTACGTTAAAATTAAAAATAAATCTAAAAATTCTCTTCCCAAATATTAAAAATCAACTTCTAATTTAATTAATTTATAGCTTCATCATTTGGCAAAAATTCAAACAAATTTAATTAAATTTAATTTAGAATTCGATTCAAATGAAAATTGGAATGGATTAAATGATTATTTTAATTCAAATTTAAATTTAAATAATTTATTTGATGAGTTGTCGATAAATGATTATTACTATAAAAATTCTCCGATAATTAGAAAATTAAATAAATTATATAATTCAATTTCGTCGCTTTTGGAGAACAATATTACAGGCCCAAAGTATTTAATATTAAATTAAAATTTCAATAGGAAGGGAAAAATATTTTTTTATTTCCTTGTTTCATTTAAGAGTTTCTGTGTTTTCCCTCCACATATTTTTCTCCTTTAATTAAAATCTTAGAAAAATTTGTATGAAAAAGCTTGAGAACATTTAAAAAATAAAATTAAAATTCGTATTAGAAATTCAACAAAAAAAGAAAAAGCAATTGCTAGTAGCAGTAATTATGTGCCATTATTGGGAAAACAAAATGAGGAGAATATAAAAAAATTAGAAGAATATATAGTTAAAGCTAATAAATTATTTTTACCAACGAAAGATAGTGATTTAAATTATTTAAAATGTTTTTACCCTCTTTTGGAATTTGAACAAGTTGAGGAAATTAATTTTGAATTTGAAGAGGCTAATGTATAATTAATTATTATTTTATTAAAAATGGAAAGTAAAAATAAAAATTATTTTTTTGAACTTTAAATTATTGTAGATTAATGGGGATTGAACGGCGCTCATTAATGCCTGGAAACTGTTTGGCCCTTATTAAGTTTGGTACCAATTTCCCTAGCTCGATGAGGGGAATCGTTTAATACTAAATTTTGTAAGATTATGTAAGGATGATTCACCTAGCAGCATTTAAAATGCTTAGGCGGGGGTTAAACGATCTAAAGAGGAAAAAGTGAAAGCATTAGCCGATGCCCCGGTCGCTCAGTGGTAGAGTCAGTGGTAGAGTTCCTGTATATGGTGACAGGGACTAAGCTTTGGCTAAACTCTTTCTATTAGAAAATCTTGAAGCAAGTTATGTTTTTGGGTGTATCCCTAAATTAATATATTCTGGTAATAATTTTAATTTTCCAGATTGCCCTTCTCTTCTCAAAAATATTATTTTTGGCTGATAAATTTGATGAAAATATTCGAAATAATAAAAATCGGGATTTATATAAATATTTTAATTTAAATTTTAAGCCCGTAATTGATCAATTCTTACCTAAAATAAAAGATAAATCACCAAAATTACATTCAATTTATTTAACTATTAATCGGTTTTTAAATAATGTAACTACTAATCTTGGCGGAGATAAACAATTATTATTATATATTAATTATATGAAAATGAGTTTATTGTCAAATGAAAGAAATTATAATAAACAAGAAGAATATTTAAAAATATTATTAAATTTATAAAAAGAAAGAAAAGAAAGATTTTTGTAAATTTTCTTTTAAATTTTTGATTAACAATTAATTAAGGTTAAAAAAATATTTTTAATAATTATGTATATGTATGTATTATTTCTTTAATTTATATATTTTCAACATAAATAAAGACACCATAAATTTTTTCCATTAAATAGCCAACCGGCTTTACTTTGAGCTTTTTCTTCTTTTTGTTTATTGATACAATCTTCAGAATTTTGTAATGGACAAAGTTTTGTTTGATGAATTAAAGTTTTACAATTTGCATTTTGAGGGCCACTTGAACCTCCCAACCATTTTCCAATTACTGGAATATTTCCCAGACATACTGAACCTTTGCCAGAATAAAATGAAAGAATTAATTCATCTTTTTTAACTTTTGCTTGAATAAAGCCACCAGTTGACATACTAAACCATTCATCTGCTTTCCACCACCAATGTTCAGCTGGGTAACTGTTTGGAAATTTAATATATAATTTATTTGTAAAAAAGAGGCTCCCGGAGATTTGGGGAGTGGACACTTGGGGAGTGGACATTAGGGGAGTAGATAAATGGGGAGTGAGCGGACAATTGGGGAGTGGACATTTGGGGAGTAGCATAACGATAATAATACAATGAATACTAAATAGTTTTTCTTGCTTTTGTATTTAAAAAAATGTTTATGTATACATAAGTTCACAGGAGATAAAAGTTTGGGACGTGGAATATGTCATTCGATTCGTCTCGGCAAGCTGAGTCGAACTCCAATTTTCGAAAAAAATCCAATTCCCTATTTCAGTAAATGATTCTGAACCAAGTTATAGGTTGAAAAATTGAAAAACCATAGGAGGGAGGGGGTAAGCTCGATTTTGGGGTAAAAAATTCGAATATGCAAATAATAGCTCATTTGAAAAAGCTTTCGATCTGAGTCGAATGACACTAAAATTAGCTTGATTAAACAAGTTTGAGTCAAGATATATGACTCTAAATGGTCAAATACCAATGGTGGGATTTTAGAGTCAAAATTTCGAAAAAACATATAATAGCCATTCGAAAGATTCCTAATTTATTTTTTTAAATACAAAAGCAATAAAAACTATTAAATATTCTATCGTATTTTTATCGTTAGGCTACTCCCCAAATGTCCACTCCCCAATTGTCCGCTCACTCCCCATTTATCCACTCCCCAAATGTCCACTCCCCAAGTGTCCACTCCCCAAATTTCCGGACACGAAAAAAGAAAATATTTTTGAATTTTAAATAAGAGAAAGAATTTTTTAAATTAAATTTTGATGGTTTTAAATAATTTTGGAAAGGTTACCCTATAAATCCAGACTTTAGCGTTAAACTTTGGATGGCCGTAACTCGGGCAAAGTCATTTTATAGAAAAACTGATATCACTTCGCAATAGGAAGCAGGGGGTCCTCTATCGAATGGTACCAAAAAATATATTGAATTCGCACTGACAAGTCTTCAATGTTTACTTGTCAGGCTTAAATGCCTCTTTTTTCAATAAAAAAGCAAAATCTTTTAACTGTACTAAAACTTTAGCTCCTTCATTTTTACTAAATTCATCCCAATGATGCTGACTTCTATCAGTTGCTGCTCCAGCACCAGAAACAATATAATTTAAAATTTTATTATCATTTTCAACAATTAAATGTTGTAAATTATGATCATGTCCACTTAAATAAGCAGAAATTTTAGCTTCTTTCATTTTTAAATCCAAATCTTTTAAACATTCATAAAATGACCCATGTCTACCAACTGAATATATTGGATAATGGCCAGCAACAAAAACATATGTTGCACTTGAAGGAGAACTTCTAAATATTTTTTAAAAATTTTTTCTTCAATAATTCTTTTAAATTTACATATATTTATTTAATTCCCCAATAATCCAATCTTTTTGTTGTTCAGCAAAAGATTCCTTATCTGGAATTGCTGTATGTGGATTGCTATTTTTTGATTCACTAAACACCCAATTTATTATTCTATCGCCAACAACATCTTCTGTCATACCACAAAGTTGAACCTACCAAAAAAATAATTAATTTTACTAAAATTTTCATTTATCTAGGGTATTTTAAAAAGTAGGTCTCGAACAGAAAATTTAAGAAACGTTTTATAAAAAAAAACCAACAGTATCAATCATAAGAAAATCAAGTGAAATTGTTGTTTTTAATTTTTTAGCTCCAAATTCATATCTAATTTTATACCAAGGTTCATTAGCATTTTTACCAGGGAATGTCCTTAAATTTAAACTTTTTTTTTAAATTTAATTTTTATTTTTAAAACCATCGAGTACTCCTATTTGTATAATCAATTTCAGCTTGTATATTTCCATGGTAATCGTGATTACCGGGAATTGAAAACCAAGGAACACCAAGTGTTTTTTCTTCATAAACATCTTCAAATGTTTTCTAAAATTTTCTTTTTTCAGAATTTATTTAAAATTTCTTTTTACTTGAAAACGTTCATCATTAATATTTTTTACCCCATTCATATAAAAATTATCCCCTAAATTAATTATAAATGCTGGCTGATCATCTGCTGCTAATTCACTCATTGCAGAAGAAACACTTCTTTGAGCATGTGTAGAATAAGGAAAGACTGGTGACCAAAGTGAACTTCCTTTTAAATAATTTTTATTTTTTAAATAATAATAATAATAATAATAATATGTAATAATAATAATTTTCTTGATTCACCTCCCATGTCCCCAATAATATAAAAATTTAATTCTTCTTTTGAATCAAAAAAATCTTTTTTACAAATAACATCATTAAAGTTTGAATCACGAGGATTTTTGGTACAAATAACACGCTGTTTTGGATCACTAAAACGGTAATTTGACGTTTGTTCACTTATAAGTGAACGATCGCCTTCTTTGGCATTTATAAATAATAATTGTAAAATAATATAAAATAAAAATAATTTTTGCTTCATTTTATTTTTAAACTGGAGAAAAAGGTTGTATTTAATAAAATCTAATTTTCCTAATTTTTATTTAGCAATTTTTAAATTTAAAAATAATTTTTATTTAATAAAAGGAGAAAAATAAAATAAATCTTTCCTCTCATTTTTATTTCTTTAATTTCTCACTCAAAAATTAAGTCTGTTTAACAAATTTATTTAATGCAGATAAATTAATCTTTTTTAAATTAAATACCCTTATTCATTTAATAATAATTCCTTTTTCATTTCTAGCCGGTTTTTAAAATTATTTAATAGTTGTTTTTTTGTATTTAATTAATTAATCTTTTGAATTTTTTAAAAAAGTAATTTTATTATAAAAAATTAATTCTTTAAATATTATTTAAAGAATAATTTTTGTTTAATTTAATTTTATTTTAAGATATACCACCAAAATTGTTAATCTTTTATTAATAAACACGTTCTTTCTTTAAATAAAATAAAAAGTTTATTGAACATTAATTGTTGATCAAAAAAAAAATAAATTATTTGGGTAATTTAATTTTTGACATAAAGTTACAAGTAATTTGTAAATAAAGCAATTCTTACAAGAATATCAATGAAGCCGAGTTATTAATAAAAATGAATTCCTAATAAGAAGAAAAAGAGATGCAAAGGGAGACTGTTGAGATTAATTTTTGTTTATATTAATTCTGGCAAAGCTTCCAAAAATTATTTTGGAGATAATTTTGGTCTATAGTAGTGTCAAACCTTTCTGATATAGCCATGTCATCCATGTCACTATTCTTATAATATGTCAATTTGGTAATGTAAATTTGCTAAATAAAAAGAGAATCCGATCAGTTATTTTTGTAAGGAAGCATTCATCTTTGAATAACAACTCACAGATTTGAATTTAAAAATCGCCAACTTTTTTACCCTAAATTATAAATTAATTAATTATTACATAAATATATTTAATTTGAAATAATTAAAAATTAAAAAAATATTTTTATATAAAAAGTGATAAAATAATAAAAATGACAGGTGAATGCTTGGCTAAATTTATATGTTTTTTCAAAAAAATTTTTTAATAAATGATTTGAAAATAATTTTTTGTAATTAAATAATTAATGTAGAGCTATAGACAATTTTTTTCGAAATAATTTAATTAAAAGTGTGTGAACTTTTATTATTTAAAAACAAAAAAGTTTTAATATCCAAAGGACATTTCAATTATACCTACAAATATTTTTTAGTAAAAATAAAAAATAAATTCAAATATTCTGATTTTTTAGAATTAAGTAAATATAAAAATTCAACTAAATTTGGGCAAATGAACAACAATTTGGATAATTATTTAAATATTTTTAATATTTTATTTTGTTCAATTTGTGCCATTTTCTTACTTATTTTGATAGTTCCTTTGTATAAATTTTCGAAGGAAAGAACTGCACTTTTTATTCTTTTTAGCAAAGTAAGTTTCTACATATATATTTTCTGAAAAAACATAAAAGGCAAATGAAAAATGATCGGATGTAAAAAATTCTAAATGATACTATAATAGTATAGACAAAGTTCAGTACGCTTGTAAGGAAAAAGAGGGAAAGGAAGGGGAAGGAAGGATATTTGTCGAGCGGAGATGTTAACGAAATAATCTAATAAATCTTCAAATATATAAAAATAATTATTAATTTAATTTTTAAAAATTATAGTCAATTGCCAATATTACCTACCAATTATTTCAAATTTACATTATTATTTGTCAATATTTTGAAATTTTAATGACATTTAATAGCTACTTTATTGCACCAACTGCAGCAATTTTGACAACTTCAATCTATGTACATATAACTGCATTGGCATTAAATCGTTTTCATGCTGTTTACTTTACTTTTAGTTATGAAATAATTTGGAAAAAACGGTAGAATATACATATATATTTAAATTCCAATCCAGTCTCTAGAACCAATTCATAAACCTGGGAAATTTAGCACATAACCTTAGCACAATCAGTGCATAAGAACCTTGGAAATAACGCAATTATTTTTCACAAATAATTCACGCGACATAATCTTTATTTTTCTAACTTTACCACATTTTCTAATTAAATAAATAAATATTTCAGAAACATTAAATACATAATTTTCATCATTTGGTGTATCATTATTTTTTTGTATGTCCTGTTAAGCTACATTACAATCAATTTTAAAATCTTTCAAACTGGATTTCTTAGGTAAAAAATAAATTAAAAAATTATTTTAATTAAATTATTCAAAAAATATGTATAGATTTTTCTCATTCGGAATTATCATGCCTGGCGATTTACTTATTTGGATATCTATATTTATATCAACACCTTTATATTCAGCTGTTTTGGCAAAGTTTATATACGATTATAGTAAATGAAATTTTTTAAAAAATAAAATTACTTGATTAATAATCATGTCTTATGTATAAGACTTAATTCAAAGTTTCGGTAAAAGACTTGAGCGATGAATTGGGGACAAAGAAATTGAAATTATGTTTTAGATATACATAAAAGGAACACCTTAAAACTTCCTTTTTCCATTTTTAGGCTTTATAAAGTTGTTCATTTATACTTAAGAAAATCTCAGACATAACACAATAAAAACTGAATTTTTTAAAATTAAATTTAAAAATTATTTTGTAGAAACATCCAAGATGCAAATAGTGGACGTTGACACCCAAAAAGAACGAATAAAAATCTTAATTATTTGTTTAGTTAGCCTAATTCCATGTCCATGGTATATTGGAATGTTTAAATTAAACATAACAATTGCTTCTTCCAACCAACCAAACAATTTTATTTTTATTTTAACAAATATTATCTTCAATTTAAGTTTAAATATAATTCAATGTTGTGAAGAAATTTGTTTATTTTTTATTTCAAAAGATTTTAGAAAATTAATCAAAAAACAATTTAATATTAAAAATGAAGAGAATAGTAGCAGTACTACTATTGTTGTTGGGACGGCAATTAAAGTTGAACAAAATCCTCAAATGTATGGACAAATTAATAATTAAATATGTAGAGTTGGAAGATTTTTGTGAACGAGAATTATAAAGAAAAAATTAAAATTATTATTTTTTTATTCCAAATATAGAATAATACATAATTATGTTAATATACATAGTATTTTTTATAAAATAAATCAAGTAATTAAATTTATTTGGATAAATTTAAAAAATGTTTCTCTTAATTAAATGAAGCTAAAATACTTATAATTGCTAATTATTTTATATAAATAATTTTACGGCACACGGAAGGCACACCTTTCGTTTTTTTCTTACCATTATATCTTTTTCTAATCCAAATTGATGTAAGTCAAGAAACTTACTATATTGCAATAAGTACCCAGACCCATGGGTTCTGATTGTAAGAACATATGGGCCGGTGCTTAAGCTAGTGAACTCCGACGATTCCCAACAGAAAAATTCAAAGCCCCCCCCCCCCCCCTCCCCCCCATAAACGGCAGGAGTGCCAATTTTTCTTGTATTTAATAAAAATATCAAGTTTATTAAAAAATTGTAGTTGAATTAAATTGCTAAAAACAATTTTCATAAAAATTTAAGTTAAATAAACAATTTAATTAAAATTTAATTTAAAAATTCATTTTAATTATCAATTACATATTTTATAAAAATTATTATTTTTTAAATTATTTTATAAAATAATTAATTGATTAAAAAATTAATAAAATTATTTTTAAAAATATTTTTACACAAACTATAAAAACAAAAAATATTTATTAACAGCTAATTAAATATATATTTAAATTTAATTTTAAATTTAAAAATTAATCAAAAATTAATTCCAGCAAGGAAAAAAATAAAATTATTTTAGAACTTATTTGTATAAAAAATAATTTTTTGCATATTTTTTTTAATTTTTAGAGATATTCGGTCAATAATATGTACGAATTAAAAAAAATTTTTTTTTAATTTTTTAAAAATTTATAGAAATTATTAAATTTAAATCCAAAATTGGAAAATTTTAAAAATTAAAAAAATTGGCAGTAAAACAAATAATTAAAAAATTTAGCTTTTTAGATACATAAATGTACATTTTTAATATGTATATTTATCAATAATTAAATATTCAATAAAATAAATTAATTTAAAAAATTTAAATAATTTTAATTTAATTAAATTCTAAAAATGAAAATAATTATTTTCTGTTTTCTTCTTTTTTTAATAATAAATGAAGAAAAATCGGGAAACGTTAATGCTTGTGCATGTGCTAAAACACCATTTGAGAAGATGTATTGTGATTCTGAATGGGGTGAGTTTAAACAAAATTTTTTTTAGAAATATATAAATAGTCGAAGTTGAATATTCTTAGGGTATTACTCACACAAATTTACTATACAAATAAAATTAGTGATGCCTTTGGTGGAGAGAGCCCTTAAGCGATACCTTCATTTTGTTGTTTAATTAATTTTGGATTCCTTAAACTCTAACGGAATCTTGAAAATAAAAAATCAGATGTCAAAATTGAAATCTTTTTCTTTCCAAATTTAACTCTTTAATCCCCCCTCTCCCAAAAATACCCAAATAAACAATTTATCTATTTAAATTTCAAAGTTGCCCATGTTTTGCCAACCAAAATTGAAGAAATAAAAATAAATAATTGGACACAGAATCGTTATGAAGTTAATATTTTGAATTCTTATAAGCCTATTAATGAAGCAAATTGTGAACATAAAAATAAAACTGATTATATAATTACACCTCCAAGTGATAATGATTGTAGTGTAAATCTTCAAACTAATGGAACTGAATATTTAATTGGAGGTAGAATATTTAAATTTAATTTAAACTTAAATTTAAATTTAAAGGGAAATATGATGATAATGGGAATAAATTAATAAATGATTGTAATCTTCATATTAAATGGGATGAAATAAAAGAAGAAACAAAGGAAGTTTGAATAATGGAATATTGAAAATAATTGCAAAGATGTGTCAACAATAAATTATTAGAAGAAAATTAAAATAAAATTTTCTTTTGGTGGGGAATATTTTAATTATGGGAGAATCAATTATAATTAAAATAAATTA